AGCGACACGCCGATTTCGCACGTTTCGGCGCGCGGAACGAATCCGAAAAACGACCGGCCGCTGTTTGCGCGGCGCGACACGTTTCTCGCATTCCTTTATATTGTTTTTTTTCCGTCTGTTGTTTTCCGAGTCCGATACTCGCGCGCGATAGGCCCACGCGAAATAATAAATCCCGTTCGCGCGATTCCGTTTTGCGGGCCGTTTTCGTTAGGTAATCGCGATTCGCGAGCACGCGGAGTTCGAAAGCGGAATTTCCGTCGAGCACACTCGTCGCGCGGAAAGGAAAATTTACGTTTTTGCTCTGGAAATATTAAATGTACCGAACAACAAACGGCGTTTCAGTGGGAACGCAGAAATATTCGGTTGAAAAGGTGTTTTCAAGCAACGCCGAGCACTTGTAGCGAGGTTTTCAAGCACTTTATTAGCGAATTCGCAGTGCAATCCCGCGAGAGAATTATTTCAGTTGCCACTGTCACGGTTTCTTTGCAACGTTATCGTTCCCGAGTTTTCGAATATTGAGGTTTTCGTATTGAGATCCGCAATGTTGAAGCATTAGTTCGTACATTTGCGCAAAATCATGAAAATCGTGCACACAGTACGAGTCGTTGAGAGGCGAACGCGGTTAATTCCAGAAGAGGGATCGAGAAAATTCATGCTTCGGCTTTTGAAACGATATGCAACATATTCAGAAGCTATAAAAAGGGTTTTCCAACTTGGAACAAAACGAAGAACCGAATAAATCCTTGAATACCCGAAAAGAATATTATTTGTCCTATTAAAATTTCGAAAAATATCAGGAAATCGACTTAACCGCATCGGCTTCTAGCGACTCGTGCAACGAATACAGTCGTCAATCGATACTTATGAATGCAAAGTTTTCGCTCGCCTATCGAACGAGTTTATTTAAATGAATAAATAACCGGAAGCGGGCGTTTGATGATTTGTTCGTTACGTTATCACGGCCGTGGCTTTACATCGTAACGCGCATTCGTTTGCGCGCGATGCGCGCCGATAACCGGTTAGATTAATAATGAGTCGGTTGTAAATTGTATTATTCGCCTGTAATTAGCCGACGTTGACTCGTTCGCCATGCGAAACGCGTCGACCAATGGAATGGATGCTAAATTATTTCGTGAGGTCGAGGGGAGGATTGTAGTATGAGGTTTCTCGGTGGGGACGTTGTAACCGCAAGTTTCCTTGTGATTGCCGATGCGTCGCTAATCAATCCGAATCGATCTAATAGGTATACGCGCAACAAAGCGTTCGAATTGCTCCCGACTTTATCCGAGCCTCGAAATTAGAATCTTCGGGAGCCGCGAAATTAAAATCACCGCTTTCCACAACGAGCCCGAGAGTTCCGGGAGTCTCAGGTGTTTCGAAATTCTGAAAACTCCGCGAAGTTCCCGGAAGATCCCGAAGTCTCGGAACCTCCACGGCCCTGAAAGAATCAAGTCCGTTGGAAAAGTTGTTACAGAATAAGTAAGAAGACATTCGGAGGATATCACGAGTCACCGCTACTGCAATTTGTATTCCGCTCTCGAGACTTTCGCGTCCTCGCTGTAACAACCGTTACACTTCTACAAACTTTCCCTGCCGATCTTAGGATTCAGGCGGTTACCGGAGTATTAGGTCGCCCCATAAGTTCGTGCCATTTATTTTGCCAGCAATTCTTATAACTCCGCGATCCCTATTCTCTCGAGTGCCTTCCACCGACTGAACTAAAGCGCGAAGATTTACTCAGCCTCCTCGCGTTGCTCGGTGATTACAAATCGCAGCGCGAGGAGCACAAACGCCGCGCCACGGACTCACGGGACGATCTAATACTCCAGAATTATCTAATTATCTGAATGCCAAAATCGAAGATGTGGAAAGTTCGTGGTTTAACGGTCGCAACAAGTGCGAGGGTTTCGAGAGTCTCGGAAGCACGGCAGCTCGAGGTTCGATTGCGCGGAGGCTCGCGAGGAGTATCGAGCCATCCGCGACCGGTGGCGAACGTCGGTACGATTCACTCGGACGACGAACGTTTTACGAGGATTCGATCGGACGGTCGATTGTCCCATCGTCGCGTGTCCGCTCGTAAAGCAGCTACGACTCGCGAGTTACAAGCGGAGACAGTGAACTCGCGTAACAAGGAACGGTTACGACGGCTCGGAGTTACTTGCCGGTGCTCGCAATCCATTAGCTTCGAGACGAGGGCCGGCTGTCGAGAATTCTAAGCGGCCCCGTTTGAAAAAACTCATTACCCGGACTGTTCGCTTCCTTTAATTCCAATCTTCTCCTCGGGCCGTCGAGCGCCGCTCCCGTTGCACTCCGCTTTTATGAATTCGAGAACGGCTCGCGTAAAGTCAGCTGTAACGCCAAAGTTTTACGGTGGCTCGGAACAATCTAGCTTCATGATGCTCCATTGATGAGTATCGCTCACTCGAGTGCAGTTCTTGCGCGTAAACAAGCTGCTCGCTGGAGTACGATGGTCGCTTCGGAACGATCAATGAAATTATGAACGTTTCCTGGATGAGAGGGTGCTTTTAATGTATAGTGAATTTCTGAAGTCTGCTAATTAGTCTGGTACAATCCTTTCAATGATTTAACTTTCAATAATTTAGTTTTCGCGATGCAAAATCGAGGATGATGAGTGCGTCGTGAGAGTAGGGTGCGGTTGAGAATTTGTTGTGCGAGTGAGAAGAATACTTGTAGGAGAGAATGACTTTCAACCCTTTGCACTCTGAAGTTTTTCACTAGAAACATTTCAACATTTTCCGACGAGATGAAGACGATATTTCCTAAAACCAACTCGACGAGAAATTCACGTGAATTATATGAAGTATAATATTAAATATCAAACTTTATAGCTTCGCTGTAGGAAATCAAGCGGTGACTGAGAGTGACCCGAGTGCAAAGGGTTAATACCAGAGCATTCCATTCGAAAACTGTTTCATCCCCTACACATTGGGCGAACCGAGGTGCGGTTCTCCGGTGTAGTCGCGTTCCCGAGTAGAATCGAAAGGAGGCGACAGGTATCCAAGATACACGTTCAGACAAGGCTGACGAGGCTCCCATAGGTTCGCGCGGCGTCGCCTAGTTGGCGTAGACGCGCGGAGCCGCGCTCTCCGTCGAGTGCGTTTAGGTTCGGCGATACGAGCCACTTCGACGCGTCCTCGTGCCGGATGCAAAACCGTATCGACGGTCGTTTCGGGATCCTACTCGGCGCGCATTCTTCCGGAACTGGGTTAAGACCCGAATTAAATTTTCCCTCGGCCCGGCTGCGGCGGCGAAATCCTATTCGGTCGCTTCGGGGCCGAAGGTGAAACGAAATTTCCGAGCCGCTGGCGTAGAAACAGCTTCCAACGGGCGCCGCCCATCCCCCGTGTCCCCTGTTCGCCGCGCTACGGCCGCCGGATACCAAACTCCGACGACTAACCCGATCAGCACGGCAAACTTGACCCTGGTCGGACAGCACGCGCGACGTTTGCGCCACTCGTGTCTGATAACAGGACCGTGGGACGAATTCTCGCATTCGGACCGCGCGTGCTTCGGCGATCGAAACCTCGCCGCGCTGGAGGCTCGAACCCTTTGCGACTGAGAGGTGACTTAGTCATTTCATTTCATACAACTATGAGATTAGATGTTTAATTTGCACTTGGAAGTTTCATTGGAAATATTTTAACGTCTTCTGATGGGGTAGAGAGGATATTTTGTGAAACTAACTAAAAGAGAAATACGTGTATTGGGAAACGAAGCTATTTTATTTCAATATTTTTCTAGTTAACGTGTTATGCAAGGCACAATATTGATCCTTTGCACTCGGAAGTTTTTCATTGGAAATATTTGAACGTCTTCTGATGGGATAGAGAGGATATTTTGTGAAACTCGACGAGAAATCACGCTTTCATCGAGGGCAAAGCTATTTTGTTTGAATATTTCTCGGATGCATTGTACGAAGTTTAATATTAAGTATCAAATTTTATGGTTTTACTGTATGAATCCAATTGGTGAGCGTCAAAGGGTTAATATTAACTCTTTGACGAAGATCCTTTGAAACACAAAGCCTTCGGTAAATCAAGCTAAATTACATATCAATTCGTTGGTTAATAGGAAAAAGGGAAGCTCCAGATCTCTCGCTGTTTGACTAATTAAATCATTCGTTCCTTAGTCTTCCAGACATTTCACCGAAATGTCGACGTTCGTCAAGGGTTAAACTTTGTACAATGCATCACTGGAATATTGAAACGAAATAGTCTGATCGTCGAGTTCTCGTTCGAGACTGTATATCAGTGGGACATTTCGAATGGGAAAGATTCGGGTGCGAAGGGTTCACATAAATCACTGTCAGTCCAAATATAACATTCCGAATCATTCGCTCCCTTTCTTCCCGAGTAACCAAAAACGGAAAAGTGAGTTGATTGGAAACGTATATCACTATCCGCGGTTTAATTGTGATTGACAGGCGGGCTCGTTAATCTATCACTTCGTTCCCCGCGATTACCGTGTACATTCGATAACCGGATCTAAACAGAACGGACGTGCGGGGCCAATATGGGACTCGACTCGATGGGAGATAAATCACCCATCGTCGCGTTCGCGGTTTTTATTCGCCCGCGGTTTTCCCGGCGCCGCGGCGTTCTCCGGCCGCCATTCTCGGCGGACCGGCGTGGATCCTCCGGAATCGATCCGCGGAACGTCACGACGACGGTCTTCCGTTTTCTGTTCGCCGACGTCGGCTCGGCTCCGACGATTGATACACTTTTATACCAGCGATTCTCTGTTTCCGATGTGCGCAGGCAATATAGCGAACGATAGGAATTGATGATCTGCCCCGGGCCGACCAGCTGTCGAGTTTGATCGAAGGCCCGATTACCGGAAACGGACGGCCAAAAATGTGACGCGCGGCGGGCGCGCGGGACGCTCGGCCCTCGAACAGGAGGACGGACCGGACGACTATTCAAAGCGTGACGCTGGATTCACCGTGAGTATTGCCTACGAAAATCATTTCCCGCCGCGCGGAAAGACTCCGCCGGAACGGGACGAAAGTGTTCCGGACGGGGACCGGTGAATCGATGTGCATGCGAATCTGCGGTGCGCCGTTGAACGGATTATTTGTAACCCGTTCGCCTCGTACCAGCGAAGCAGGAATACTTTTGTCGAGAAATTTCTGGTTTCTTTCTGTTGCTTTTGAGAGGTTAATGTGTGTAGACATTAATAATGTAGTTATTAATATCGGTATTATAATATGTGTGTTATTAATATCTATGTTATAATATGTATGTTATTAATATCGATATTATGATATGTACGTTATTAATATCGATATTATGATATGTATGTTATTAATATCTATATTGTATCTATATTATTAACGTCTACATTATACTATAGATTACAATATGAAACTGTAATACAGTAAATAATGATCACGACAATTATACGAGATTTGAAATAACGAGAAGAAACAAGAGTAATCATAGTATAAAATTCTAACAATACAGTAAGTAACAAGTAGGATAACTAATATGATTGACAGTTCACTGAAAATTTCAGAATAATTTATAAAAGTGGCTTCCGAAAGTCTCTTCCGGAGTTCGGCGAGAATTTGAATATTTCAAAATATTTGGAGTAGACGTATTACTGTTTTTGGCAATAAAAAAGGCTGGTTTTGTAGAGATTATGTCATGAGATTAAGGGATTACGAATTTGAATATTTATTAGAGGTGATTCGTTCGTGAAAGCCAGCAGGGGCTCGATCTTTTTATTGCCGTGGAGGAAAGCCGGCTCGTTCCCATTAGGCACGCGAGAAATTCATTCGTTTCGACGTTATTCTTCCCATAAATATTCAAAATTGATCCAGTTGATCAGCGGTATTAGTCGCGCCGGTTAATCGGGCGGATTAAGGGATCACCGCGAGAGATAAAGAGAACAGTCCCTGTCCAACAGAAATTTTCTCTAAGCGAGACGGCGACTTTGTTGCGGGCACGATGAACACGGGGCATGTAGATTTAATATGAATATTTTATTACATGCATTATGTAATAGGTTGCGCGAACGGCGGGGGATACGTGTCCGGCAACGCGGACCGTATTGAAATTCCGTTTAATTATTCCGCGTTTCGGTTTTTGCGAAAAATCATCAATAATAGTTTACATCGGCCGTTGATCTGAATAATTTATCACAATACTTGACGCGTAAATAATTACGCGCACGCTAATGCTCCGGAGAAATTAATTTATCGCAAATTAACCTGGGGCGATACATGTAGAGCGAATAATCCGAATAACACTCGATCGTGCGCGACGAACAATTGTCCTTCGAGTTTACGAATAAATTCTACCGAAAACGATCGATCTCTTTCGTGCTTCGTACGACGAATAAATGTTTCGCGTCCAAAGGAAGTATTTCCTTTAGAATTTCCACCTTCCCCGAGTCAATCTTAGTAACTTCTGGCCGCTTCATCATTCTTAGATACTCTTAGCGATCTTCAGCAGCTTCCGCAATTATTTCCATTTCTTAAGGCGGCCGAAGGACTTTCAGGACCGTCAAAATCTCCTGGAGACCCTTAGAAACCACTAAAAGATCTTTTAGGACTTTCCGCTTCTTTTTATTCACATTTTACCCGAAGGTCCTCTGGATCTCCCAGACTTCTAAAGGCCTTCCGCGGTCTCTATAGATCTTCCTTGTACCTTGTAATCTTCTTGCTCCAGAAATATTTCAATAACATTTCTAGATTCTTGATAAATCTCCGGAGAATCGACGAATTCTCCGAAAACCTTCGAGTCGGTCTCCTTGTTAGAAGTCGCATGGCATTGGTAGGACGATCATGTGCCGGGAGTATCGGGCCATTCTGTCCGCTTCTATTTGAAATTCAAGACGTTTCGATGGAAGGACATCGTGTATATCATTGCCAGTCCGCCCGTGTATTTGACCGGCGTACGTCGGACACGTGTCACAAATCGCGTGGCCACGCGACCAGCAAAATTCTATTTCTCCTCTGTTCCGTTCCCTTTTCCCCTGGCTCGGAAAGACGCCTATTTCGCAATGGTCCTGGCCAATTTCGGACCACGGATTCACGAAACACGGCCGAACGATGGGGAATAAATTATTCCGCGAGGGCGGGCCGGCGCGATTGAAATATTCAGGACGTTCGACCCGGTTTCGCGCTACAATGGACAATCGTTCGTGAACACCTTCGCGTCCGTTAGACTCTTTTTTCGAGCTGCGAGAATGAGTCGCGAGCTTCTGGCTTTCGGAAGCTTGTAGCTGCGACTTATAAGCGATGACTTGAATTTGATGAAACTCATTCGAAACTCGAACTTTATGGAACTCTGATCATTCGGAAATCGAACTTTGTGGAACTTTGATCATTCGGAACTCGAACTTTGTGGAACTCGAACTTTGTGGAACTCTGATCATTCGGAACTTGAGCTTTGTGGAATTCTGATCATTCGTAACTCAAACTTTATGGAACTCTGATCAGTCGAAACTTGAGCTTTGTAGAACTCTGATCATTTGGAACTCGAGCTTTGTGAAGTTCTGATCAGTCAAAACTCGAGATTTGTGAAATTCTGATCAGTCGAAACTCGAGCTTTGTGGAACTCTGATCATTCGGAAATCGAACTTTGTGGAACTTTAATCATTCGGAACTCGAGCTTTGTGAAGTTCTAATTATTCAGAACTCGAGATTTATGGAACTTTAATCATTCAGAACTCGAGGTTTATAGAACAAAGTCTTCGAGCATAGAACTTCAAGTTTTAATTCAAGTGAATGAAGTTTAATCTAGTACTCGAGTTTTTTCCAAGAATACCGCGCTTGATTCACTGTATCGAGGTTTCCCGATTTTTTTGAACGATTAATCGTCACCGGTTACATTCATTTTCGTTGTAATGGTTAATGCCTGGAGTATGGCGTGCAAACGAATAAATAAGCGAGCAAATGGAAAAAATGGAACGGTTACAGAGCGGCGTTTCGGTTGAAAAATTCCCCTGATGCCTGACCGCGGGCACGGCCATTAATCGGCACCGTAATTGGAGGTTTAATTTGTCAGTTTGAGCGCGGATAATGGAGCGCTGCATATTCGATGATTTAAATCACGCAACACTCGTCACGGTAAACCGTTTGTTCCGCCTATTGCCCGGCCAATTGTCTATTTGCGAGCCGCGCAACGTGTTTTCTTGTTCTCTGGTCGGGGAAATTGGAGTACCTTGTACTTCCGGTGTTGCGTGATCGTGTGATACCGGTATTACGCGGATCATCGGATTTGTCTGCCATGTTTTCGACTTAGCGGAACAGTTCGAACACGGGCCCGTTAGATTTATCTCCTCTAACGAAATTAAATAGATTTAAACAGATCCAATTTATTTCTTTTCTCCAGTAAATCACAAATAAAAATGTCTGTTGTAAGCTGCGAACAGCTTTTAGCTGTAAAAAAGATTCTCTTGCAGGAAATGCATCCAGCAAAACGGTTCATCAATTGTAAACATTGTCCGCAGTCTTCTTGAATCGTACATTCAACGGAATTCCAAGTTTATTCAACTATGTGAACGTTGAAGACTGATAATAACGAAGGAAAGCTTTGTTTTCAATTAAATCTCACCGTGTTTCCCGAGCTTCCTTCGACTTCAATGGGTTTTGTATCTTTTATACCGTCCCGTTCGCTCGATCGTCCGTTCAGTTTGATTTCCCATTTTTCCAAGAGCACCGCGGAACGACAAGAAAGCAGCAGAAAATCGTTATTAACGTAGGTGTTCCCACTTTTCCGATAATATTCCCGATGCCCGGGTAAATTGGAAAACGCCGCGGGGTTAGAAGAGACAAGTGACGTTCATATTTATTCGATTCTGTTTGAAATATTCGCGACTCCGACGTTGATATTACAAGACGAAGGGGCGAGTGCGCGAGAAAAATAAGTATTCCTCTGCGCGATACCGGGCGGAACATTTTCCACATTCATCTCGCCGCGCGCGGAGAAAAAGGCTACGAAATTAAACGGACCATCTACCCCGGCAATCGGCTCCATCGGAATCCATATTTCGTCGCTATAAATAAATCAACCGAATGAAAATTTCCCTCTTCCCACGTAGCGGAAAATCGTAACACTTTCAACGACCCCGTTCTCGCGAATATTCAACCCTCAACAGGAAGGCTTGAAAAATGTCCATATTAACAGATTTTTATTCCTATTTATAATACTTGCTGAAACTTGAGACATATTTTCTGTTTCATCGTATTAACCCTTTGCGGTTCTATGTTCCAATATGTACAACAATTATCTACAATATCACACTGTCATCACGAGTAAGTGCAAGAACAAATCTACCCAATATTCTATCAAACATTCCATGTCAAGCTACAGTGACATCAAACAACGCAGCAAAGTGTAAAACCAAGACCACTCCGAGCCACGAACGGTTGAGCGTCCCATCAACTTTCATCAAGTTCCCTCCGCACCCATCCAGTATTCCGTGGTTCACAGGCGACAGGACTATCGCTAAAAAAACATTGCGGATCGTTAAATTAACCTCTGCCAAACACTCGAATTTCGCGTCGGCCGTCCTTCGAGCCGAACCCCTGTGATTTCGAAGTAGCCGCGTTGCGCACGGTTGAAGACCGAAAGGAAAAAAAGAGAGAAGGCGAGAGGAAATGGGGGAAAAAATGGAAAAATGCTGGTGTAAAAGGTTCGTCGGACAAGTAGTTAAAAGCATTGACGCACTGCATTCGGTTCCAATCGTTTTTTCGACGAACGATCAGATTTCCAGCCGTGGCCCGCCACTCTCTCCCGCGCGCTCTCGGTCTTCCCGGGAGAAAGAGAGGAACGGCGGGAGGGAGAGAGGGAAAGAGCGAGCCCCGAAGCGTGATGGAAACCGCCACGCGATCCAGTTACCCCGAAAACGTTTCCCCTCGAAAATTTGGGAACAGTCGAAACCCGTGACCCGGTTCCAGGGCGAAGGGGCGAAGGGCGCGCGGCGCGGAGCAAG